TCTATCCCCTATGTAAATGCAGATAGATTGTTTTCTAGTGTTCTACCACAAACAATACTTTAATAAATATGTTTGGCTATTCTGAGTCTCTGGCATTCTGAGCACTTAAAAATGAATTTTAAGATGAGCTTGTCAACTTTTACAAAAAGCCAACTGGGATTTTGATAGAAATTTCATTGAATCTGTAGATCATTTTGGGGAGTATTGCTACCTTAACTAAGTTAAGTTTTCCAATCGATCAACACAGAGTATCTTTTCATTTATTAGGTCTTCTGAAATTTCTTAATGATCTTTTATAGTTTTTAGTTTACAAGTCTTGTACTTCAATTAAATTTATTAGTAATGATTTTATTGTTTTCAATGTAATTGTAAATAGGATTGTTTTCTCATTTTCATTTTCATCTTAATACATATCTTTGAGAATAGCTTCCCTTCCTTCCTCCTGCAATGAATGAGTACATCTGTTGGATAAATTCCTAAATGTGGAGTTGCTGGGTCAAATGGTACTTGACAGTTAACATTTTGATAAATGTTGCTAAATTGGCTTCCAAGGTGTTGCCCCAAATCATATCAACAGATATGTAAGAGTGACTTTATTAAGCTGTTTTTGTATTATATATAAAATTTTGAACTTACCAATCTAGTAAGAGAAAAATAATATCTCCCTTTGTTTTAATATTCTCATTCATTCTTAAGTAGAGTTGTATATATTTTCTTTGGTGAGAACTTTGTAAGAACTTTGCTGTTTTTCTATTTGCAAATGACTTATTAATACTAATATATCAATAGATTTGGGTTTTTCTGGGTTTAACTAATTTTAAAATGCCACAGTTTAGAGTCATTAGAAATTATTTTGAAGTGTTAAAACAAGGGACAAAGCTGGGTTTGTATCACATGTCTGCATAAGACTCTGCTTGTCTTCACACATGCACTTTTGATGGCATTGGAATATGGCCAATCAGTGTTACATCTATTTATTAAATAAAACAAACATTTATTGAATGTCTAGTTGTTGCCAGAAAACCTATCATAGTAATGAATGGACATTGTTCTGCCTTCCTGGGTATTCACAGTCCAATGTGGAAAACTGGGATCCTGATGGAGGGAGGGATTCAGTTGACCCATTTTTAACAGAGACACCTGATAAAAAGTGTCACCAGAGTTTTTGAAGGCTGATTCTGCTGGGTTGAGAAAGAAAGTGGATAGTTCAGGCAGGTGAAAAATCAGGAGCAAAGGTGAAACATATTTGGCAAGATGCAGGAATGGTGAGCAGTTGGTGAGCATAGGGTATACTCCTACGTGGTCGAACTGGTAGGAAGTGAGGCTAGCAAGGTAGGTGAGGCCATATCGTCCAACAGCTTGAATGCCATGCTAAAATGCTTAATTTTTATATTATCTGACTCTGGAGGACATTGGTGTTTTTGAGGGATAGTATTTTAATATGGAGGCTCAGTCAGTAGTAATGATGACAATAATGTTGAAACAGCTAAGCGATATTACCTTATTTGGCTCCACAACTTCTATATGAGGATCTGTTATATGATTTTTACAGATTTGAAACTGTGTTTTCTTATAATATACATAACATATCAAAAATTGTTTTTACAGGAATTTGTTTTGCATGAAACTCAGAAACTTCTTTATGGTGCAAAACAAAAAAACAAACAAAAACAAACATTTTTTCCCTTTCTATTTTGTGTTGGTTTCTTGGGTTTTGTTTAGATTAGGGGTCAAACTTAAGAGCCACAGTTCCCTCAAATTCCCTGTGAAATGAAGAGACCACCCAATGAAAAGGGCTCAGTTTGGCTGTGTGAGTGGGGACTGGGCAGAGCTCAGGCCTTGTCTCAAGGGAGCATGAACTCAGCCTTGTAGGAGGTTTTTATCTGAATTTATTTGAGTTCTGCCAGTACCTAAAAATAGGTAAGCCTAGTAAAATATTTGGCCTACTATCACCAGTCTAAATATGAGATGTTTATTCTAAACATTTCAGACTGGCCAAAATACGTAAGTAATTTATTTATAGATATAACACTGCTCATCCCCTATGGAAGAGACAGTCAAGACTCTTTCAGAATTGCCATTTTGAGGATTAGAAGTACAATCACTTCACTGGTTTAGATACTGTAAGTTAGGAATATGTGAAGGAGGAAGATACTGTTTATATAATGTGGGAGAGTGAGGAGTATAGAGTAGGAGGCAGATGGTAACTTATTTTCTCCCTGGGACATTTTAGAACTATTAACTCTAAAAATTATATCTGTATTGCCAAAATTGGGAGGCTTTGGAGAGTTTTAGGAATTTAAGATTTTAAAGCTCTCCTGAGAAATTAATCCTGATATGAAAGGTGTTATTTCCATTTTCAAAAAGACAACTTATTTCTAGAAAAACCACAAAGCAGGATTTGAAAATCTTTAAAAGTCTATTTTGTATCCACTTTTTGTAACTCAAAAAGAAGTGGTGGCCAAAAATGTCATTTCAGTTATTCAGGATCCTTCTTTGTAGAAGTAGGAGACTGAATAAAACATGATCCTGTGAGGGATATTCATTTCTATGGGTCTTAATGTTGAAATGAACAACTTGTTTTTAGACCAACAGATGTCTTGAATTTAATATTCAACAGCATATATGCTATGAATTATCAGAAGGTAATGTGATTAAAATAGTATAACAATTTCTTCATGTTTGGTTTGGTGGGGAAAGGTCATCATAAGTATTGATCAGACCAAATAAGACACAACAGGTTGTCTGTGCTATGTAATAATGTGATATCTTATAGACACATACTAGGAATTGTTATTACCAAATGTGATTATTTTTACCTTTATATTCTTTACCAGTTAGGAGGTTGAGAAATGTTTTATGATAAATAAAAAAAGAAAGTTTGTATGCAAATATTTTGCTTAATTTATCTTTCATAAAGTAGCACATCAAATTCCCTATAAAAGTCAACACTAAGTAAATAAGAAATCATCAGAGAGCCTTTGGAAAATTAGAACACATTTTTTCATTATTACCAGGTAATGACAAACTTACCTGTCTACTTGTGCAAATTTTCTGATTCATCATCTTAATGTAATAGTTCTGGAGGCGGTAGCAGCCTTAAGTAAAACTGCCATTTATATAGAGAAAGATTGTAGGTTGCTTGTGTTATTATGCTTTGGCAAAAGCATACAAAAAGAAAGTGCTTTGTCTAAGCAGAGCTGAAGGAAATATAATGACTAACATAATCAGATGTGCAGATTTATCTTTGTCAGTTATTTTATACATATTTTCAAATTTTGTCTTTCAATAATATTTTTTTCAATAATAAAATCAAGTCATTCTTATTGAATAGATTTTGAAAATACTAAAGACCAAACAATCAAATCATCATCCATAATCCCATCATGCGAAGATAAGAACTGTGGATGATAATGGGTGGATTCTGAAGTCACACATCTTAGATTTGAGTCAAGTCTTCACTACTTATTATTTCTCTTTAAAAGTTAGTTAAATGACTTCCTGTGCTTTGGTTTCCTCATCTACAAAATGGGGTAACAGTAGAATTTACCTTATAAGGTTGTTGTAAAGCATTGAAAGTCTTTAGTATACCCTGGCACATGGTAAATATTGAATCTACTATTTACTGTTATTTCCTTCTAGTCTTTTTTCTAAGCATATATTTTTAGTTACAGTTAAGAATACACTGTACATTTCTGCATTCATTTAACATCATATCATAATCATTTTGTGCAGTTTTCAGCAGATGAACAGCCTCATCCTAAATCATTAACCACATTTCTAATTATTTCCTTAGAATAAATGTCTAGGTATCCTAGATCAACTGATAGCAGCCCACTTAGCTTACAGGAATACTTGAAGAGGAAATGATAGATTCTAGAGTTTTAATCTTGTAATATAACCTGATGGGGAATATCACATACTTTTTTGGTGTGTCACAAAGCTCAGTAGGAGTTCAGTGAGTACAGAGAGGCAATATATAAGGCATTTATGAGGGAGGACTCTGAAGCCTTGTCAGCCCATGTTTGAATTTTGGTTTTGCAGCTGGGCAATATATTTAACTTCTCTGGGCCTGTCCTGTAAAATGGGGCAAAAGTAATACCTATTTTCATGAGATAGTGAGGAGTAGTTAGGTATCTAATCCTGGCAGATGGTAAGCTTAGCTCTTTATTGTTTGTTATTATGTTTAACACTCAAAGTTTGTTTTTATAATTTAAATGTGATAGAATGTCTCTGATTTTCACAACTAATATGAGAGTGTAAATTGTAAAAAAACCTAAAACAGGGCAATATGAATAATTTTTAATTCAAGTATTTTGATTTTTTCCCCATTTTTAAATATAACAAATAGTTTATCTGTTCTAAATTTATTATCCAGAAGACAACATGTGAAGAAGCATTTGATTTAATAATCTTGTATCTTTACAATTATATAAATATATATAATTGTAATTATATAATATAATCTTTTAAAATTTTTCTTCCATTATTCAAAGATGGGAAGTGATTTTTATCCAGTTATTATTGTTGTATGACAAATATGCCTTATGCTAGTTCTTTTTAAAGTTAAATTTAAGCTAAACACCTGAAAATAATACTGATAATATTTATAGAGTTCTTAGTGTGTGCTCAACAATGTTCTAGGTATTTTATTTATATTAACTCATATAATCCTCACCATATCCAGTGGGGAAGGTTCTGGTCTCCATTTAAGAAGAAACTGAGGCACAAAGAGGTAAAATAATGCTGAAGTTTATATGACTATAAAGACAGTTCTTTTTAGTCTTGCTCCAAAACCCATGCTTCTACCCACTCCACTGTTAACATCCCAATAGAAAAAAGTAATAACTGATTAAATATAATACCAGTATGCTTACAACAAGTTTGTACTAATATAGGAATCTGGTTAATATTAAATTCAAGAGTGAGTTTTTTGAGATTATCTCTGTTGTGGAAATACATGCATGCAAATTTCAATTAATTTTTTTTTTCCCTTTCAGTTTTTCAGTTGTGGAATGAAATTATATCAAAACTTTGAAGCTTTTCAGGCTGAATTCTTTCCACCCCTTCTAAAAGCGATGCTACCACCTAATAGTTTTCAAGGAAAAGTGGCGTTCATTACTGGGGGAGGTACTGGTCTTGGTAAGGGAATGACAGCTCTTCTGTCCAGCTTAGGTGCTCAATGTGTGATAGCCAGCCGGTAAGTCACTCTCAGTGTTTTCTGGCAAGAGTTTAATATGAAACAGTTTTGTGCCGTAATATTGATAACACTGTTTGCCAGAGTCATTTGATTTGCATCTTAATCTTCTATGAAATATCCTTTAGATTATTTAAGTAAATTTCCTTGGAAAAATCAGTTCTAATTTCTGATGATAGAAATACAGATGGTCTCTGACTTACCATTGTTTCACTTGCAATTTTTCGGCTTTTTGATGGTGTAAAAGCAATAGGCATTCAGTAGAAGCTGTATTTTGAATTTTGAATTTGGTTGTTTTCCTGGACTAACGGTATGCACTGTGATCCTCTCTGGCAATGCTGGGCAACAGTGGTGTGCTGCAGGTCCTGGTCAGCCTCGTAATCTCCAGGGTGTACAACTGATACAGCCATTCTGTACCTCTACAACCATTCCTTCACCTTCAGTATAGTATTCAGTTAATTACAAGAGATATTCAATACTTTATTATAAAATAGACTTTGTGTTCGATGATATTGCTCAACTGTAGGCTAATTTAAGTGTTCCAAACACTTTTTTAAGGTGAGCCAGGCTAAACTATGATTTTTGGTAGGCTTGATGTATTAAATGCACTTTATTTTTTTTTATTTTTTCTATTTTGGTATCATTAATCTACAATTACATGAAGAACATTATGTTTACTAGGCTCCCCCTTCACCAAGTCCCCCCAGCATACCCCTTCACAGTCACTGTCCATCAGCATAGTAAGATGCTGTAAAATCACTACTTGTCTTCTCTGTGTTGCACAGCCCTCCCCGTGCCCCTCACACACTATACATGCTAATCGTAATGCCCCTTTTCTTTTTCCTTGCCCTTGTCCCTCCCTTCCCATCCATCCTCCCCAGTCCCTTTCCCTTTGGTAATTATTAGTCCATTCTTGGGTTCTGTGATTCTGCTGCTGTTTTGTTCCTTCAGTTTTCCTTTGTTCTTATACTCC